AATAAACTCCTGTCTACCTTCTTCATTCCCAGAGATGCTGCTGATTGCCAGTGCTAGCCCTACCTGTCTCAGGTAGATTTGCTCTCTTCCGTAATTAGATTATGCAGGATCCCTAGGTAGTAAGCATCCTCGAATAACCATGTCAGGAGTGATGCAAAGTGTTTTGATCTGCTTTCATCACACCCTAGAGCTGGAGAGACTTTACACCTCCCTCCTTGCTTGTGACATGCAAATTAAATTCTGCACTAATCCTTTGTTCAGAACATACAGTGAAATCGAATGGTCTTTAGGTACATGCATTCCCTTGAAAATCACAGTCATCATGTTCAGATTGAAAGATTTCCTGCTTTGTGACTGATGTAACCCATTCTTGGATTCTGGATAGAGTTAACTTCACCATGCAGGTGTGAGAAGGGATGATGCTGTTCATGGTTCTCACTGCACCAGAGAGACAGAAAATACTTCTTTCACTGCTTGGAAAAGTTTACAGTTGCTGACAAAATCATCCAATAGGTCACCGCCATCGCTAACTCCTGTTCTCCTTCACATGTCTTATGACAATAAACCAGAGGGAGAAAAAAGGACTGGAGCTGTCTTTAGGACATGAATCCTGTGCCAGGAACGGGAACTTCTGCTCTGAGACCACCAGAAGGCCCCCTGCACTGAAGCAAGGTTGAAGGCTCCCAAGGCACCATCTGGCATCATCCCAAAGACCAGATGGATGCTACTTTCTCATGCACTGTATCTGCTTACACGCAGAGTGATATACCAGTAGGTGCATATAACAATAGGTGCTGGTGTTGTCAGGGCCCAGGTTCTTTTTCTGGACCTTCCCACTTTTTCTAGTGAGATTTGAGGAGAGTTAATACAAGAAGATTTGGAACAGATCACTATCAGCAAATGTGCGTGGAAATACCTCCAGCTTTCCTGGAGTCTGGCAACTTCTCACAAGCTTGGGCCAGCTCCACAGTTGCAGCTGTGCCTACAATAATTCAGAGCTGCCTTAGAGCTGTGCCAGTCAATGCACATAGAAAACTAGTAACTGAAGACCAAGTTTGGTTCGCTGAACTGACAGGTCAGTCTCAAGAGGCAAGCACGTACAGCAAGTTACTGTAGTAGACAGTAACTCACAGGAAACAATCTCAGAGATTTGCCTAGGACTCTGCATGCCTGTCTCAAAAGTGTTGACACATGTTTCTGTACTAGTGTTCTTGACCACAGAGCAGAGTAGCACCTATAAACAGGCGTGTGCTAGGAAAGTACATTCAATCCCATATGACTCCATGCATGTCTGATGCCTTAGTGTGCTCTCAGCACCCACAGTGACCAGACTCTGGTGCCTGTGCTCCCATGTATTATAGTAATGACAGGGATCTGGCAGTAATTTCTCATCTCTGCATCTTTTTAGCCAATATGGAAGAAAAGACCTACTTGTACAAGTAAAAGTCTTCTTCATATCTTTTCTATTTTAAACTTGCATCAGCTGCATTATTACCTTTGAAACTGTGTACCACTCAGTGAGGTGACACAACTCAGAGCATCAACATAGAGAATGCAGGGAACTGAGGTGAATGCAACCCTCAGACCTCAAATTAAGAGTACGAAAGATTCTAAATGATCTGACTTTAACATCTGGTTCTAGTCTGGTAACATTTATGTGATCTAAAGGTGGAGCTCCTTCACCAACCACCTAAATTACCAATGACATTACATCATATTCTATTAAGGCATAGGACTTCTCACATCTTTTCAACAGTGTCTCTTTGGAGTAAATCAGTTTGATTAACACAACTGACTACAGTTCCACCAGCCCTACCCAGCTACGGCCTGAGGTTTAGCCTCCATATATAGGTACTTGAATACTAGCTTTGGTTCTTCCTGCTACACAGATCTCTCAACTTGTGTCGCTTCCATCTAACTAGCTCACATTAGAGAAATTGTAGCTTGGCAGCAGAATCTGGCCTTTTCAGACTCTTGCCAATGTTACTGCTGCTGCAGAAACAGCACCTGCTTGCATGGAAGTGAACCAAGAGCAGTATCTTTGTGAGGATTTGCTCCTAGAGATCACCAGTTGTGTTCTGATGTGAACACCAGAGCTCATTTAAATCAGCAAAGCTGTGAGAAAGCACAAAATTAGTGTAGCACAGGAATTCAACTCTGTATGTGTGTAAGCCAAAGAAAAGCTGCTTTGCACCAGCTGGGTAACATCAAGTCAGGCAGAGTTACTTCATAATTTACATCTTTTAGCTGATTAGGTCACTTGCAGCATCCCCTGCCATAGGATTTGTCCCATACTGCTGAGCACTTACATTTCCACTGGATTGCAGATAAGGGGCTCTGTCCTCAGCTTGCCTTTGCCTTTGTTGGGCTTTTCAAAGCCCCATGGCCAGAGTACGACCCTGATGTCAGGCTGCACAGAGCAAAGAAACTACAAGGTCTGACTCTGCTCTGTGTGGCATGTGTGGCACTTTAGTGGCCTTCCTTAAAAAAAAGGACATAAAAGCACAGCAATTAGAACACATGGGCTGACTGGAGATTAGTAAAATGCAGATTTAACTTCCCTGGATGTTCAGGCCTCACAGGTGCCTCTGCACTGAGCTGAAGGTAATGCTCCTCGGAGAAGGTAGCTGCCCACGTGGTCACTGGGACATGTTTCTCAGAAGAACTCCCTTGTCGGGTCTTTGGCCCCCTGGCTCTCAGACTGCACCATGCTCAGAGAAAAGAGCAGGAGTGGGTCTGATCCCATCCTTTCAAGCTCTCCCTGGAGCAGGGTTTTCAAGTCCCTCCACCTGAGGTTGTTATGTAGCTGCTAGGACTCACAGGGTCCTTCCATCCTCTGGGTGTGCTCCTTCAAGGATTGCACCTGGCCTGGAAGGGATGTCTGGCTCTGAGAGATTTCATGTGGGATCCAGGGAGGCTGAGAATCAGTTTCCTGGTTTTCCCCAGGGCCCATGTCCCAGGAAAGCATCACTAGCTCCAGATTCTTCAGGAAGGAGGGCTGCAATGACCTAACATGAACAACATGTCTATCAGGGCTCCCAGCAGTAGTGCAAGTGGAGTCAAGGTGAAGCAAAATCTTGTGGAAAGGCCTGGAAAAAATGACTGAGTTCTTCATGTTTTGTTTTGTTTCAGTTGTCACCCAGTCTTTGTCACAACTTCCCTGTCAAACAGCCCTGCAGGAGTTTTCAGTAGTTGAGAAATTGTTATGAATTCTGTTGAAACAACTCAACACTATGTAAGAGTGATGTTAGTTATGATGGACTTGCTGTGACTTTCATGTAGGTCCACTGAGGAATCCTGGGGGAGTTCCTTTAGCGCTTACAGTTAAAAGACTCTGCTACTGATAACATGCTAAGATCATCTTGACTTTTTCCTCTTCTGCTCCAATTGCACAATTCCCAGGACTTCTAGTTTCTTTTTTTTTTTTCCCTTTTGTTTAAAAAGAAAAGAACTATCTACAAAGCAGAGGTCAAATACAGACCACCTTAACCAGAGGTTCATTTTATTCTGCTTTAGCCGCTGTCTGTAAAAGTGCATAGTTGTAAACTGCTGGTAAAAGCACCTAACAAAAAATCCTCTGAATTATTTATAAAAGTGATTTGTGTCTTCATCACAAGAGATTTGTGTCTTCATCACACTTAGAGAAACTAAGCATCCCCCCGATGAATTAGTGTTTCCTCAGTATTTCAAAGGCAGTATTTACATGATACACAGCTGCTCAGAATGGGACTGCACACAAAGTGAGTTATAGCATACCTAGCTGTTATCACCTGCCTGTTAGTTCAACTCCTGAGGTAGCAAAGAAATGTCTTACAAAGATAGCAAGGTTCTTAATTTAGCAAAGTGGGGAAACATTTTTCTGCAGTACCATTGCTACATTAGGCAGCCGAAATGTGGAGCTGGAATAATGAAACATATGGATGTTTTGCAGATTCAGATAGACTAAGGAGGAATTACCTGCATGGCATGAATAGTCCAGTGCAACATCACATACACGTATGTTTCCCGGGCCCCTGAACTTCTGAAATATGCGGACCACTTTCTCTGCTTTAAAAAGACAATCCTTCTTTGTGCATAAACAGTGAGTAACAGGACGTGGTCCCTTACACCTGCAATACTCGGTTTTAGAATTTATAGCTGCTGCAGACATGTATGTTTCAGCTGTTAGGGAGCAATAAAAGCACATTTTGTGTAGAATCCTGAACATCTATGAGGACTGGGGCTATTTCAACCTCCCTTCTCATTTAACAATTCTTTATTGTTAGCCTCTCAGTCCTCCATGTTTTGGAAGAATCACATAGTTCCTACTTCTGTTTGTAACATGCTGAAACTTTAGATAGCTTGGTCCCAGGTGACACCTTAGACTACAAGAGTGCATTATTATTTTTATTAGATGTTTCCAACTTATACCCATCACTGCATGGAAGGATTCTTATTAAACTTACTAAAAGTTAGAAGAGAAAAACAAACCAGAAATAGTAAATTCATGTATTTATGCAGTTAAAAATCTTCCCAAATGATACATAGAAAGTAAACAGTTAAGGATTTTCTTCCGCTCATTTTTGTTTGCAGAACAACGCCATTTCACCCTCACACTTACAGGGTTCTCACAGCCATCCTGTCCAGCCTGGAGTTATAACTTCCCGTTCCCCCAAAAACATGGATAAGTTAAATTTTTAAAGGAGAGCAAGAACATATTCCTTTTGAAACCCAATCATTTCCATTTATTTCTGAAAGTGACAATTACTCACTTTTCCTTAAAAAAAAACTCCACATCTTTTCCTTTCTTAAAAGAAGGTGCCCAGCACTGTAAGATCTACAAAACTTATGCAAACTGATTACAAAAGTCAGTGGGACCAGCACTGGACTCAAAACTTAAACTAGAAGCAGACACTAGTCCCTCTGAAAATAGAGTTGCAGTAGGATGTGCCTAGTCTTTAGAAAAAGGAAAAGAAAACCAAAAAAATGCAAAAAAACTGGACAACCACAGAGGAGCTTACCTTTAAAGAAGGACACGAACAAGGATGCCCAGAGACATAGTCCAGAATAAACAAATCCCAAGCACTTTTCTGTAAGCATTGTCCAAATAATCTGGCTATCCTTCCTAAGCAGAGGGTGAAACAGGATGAAGTCTTGGAGACAGCCTGCAATGACTGTTGGATTTGGCAATTACAGTAATAAGGCATCAAACCAGCTTCCCACCAGGAGAGAGAACTGCATTTGCTTGTGTGCTTCTCCAGTCCCCAGGAGCCAAAGCAGCTCAGGGCTGCCTCAGTAAATCCAAACACAAAAGGGGCTGGTTACTTTGCTTGGGACTCACATTCCCAGGCACTCTAAGCCTTTCCTTGGTCAGAAGCAAATGCTAGCGATGCTCACACACAGCTGTGTGTGTACTGCAAGGAGGGGGAGCGTGCTGCCTGAGAGATGCTTTCCACATCTCCACAGATTGTACCTAACTCAACATAGCACGTCTGCAGTGCTTCCAGTGCTTGCACTCGAGTGCCTCTAGAGATGTTTCCCAGCAAAACGAGTCCCTCTCTGCTCTCTCTCAGCTGCCAGTGCAACTTGCACGGTCCCTCTGCCATGCACCTGCCCCTTCTCCCAGCAGAAGTGGCCGGGGAGACTCAATATCGCAGAAGCTGGGCAACATGAAACTAGCCAGTCTCCCGTCCTTTTTGATGCGCGTCTTCCTGCAATCACTTTCACCAGAGGCAGGGAATTGCCCTGAGTGCCCTCTTCCCCAGAGGCCCACTGCTGCTAGCTCCCCAACATGGAATTTTGCACACACCCTGGTTCCCTTCGGACAGCTTTTCTACCTCCCCACTCCATTTTATTCACTAGCCAGGCAAAGGCAAGGCAAGGCAAAGGCTTGAGTACGTTGCAGGACATTTATCATTTGGGCCTTTTTTTTACTTTTTTGCCTGTTCTGCACACTCATCCACTTCTCTTTCACCAAAAACAGGTGCAGGACATTACACTTCCCCTTGTTGCACTTCCTGGGGCTCCTGCCTTGGCAGAGTATGACCCTAGGTTGATGCAGGGAGTAGCACCAAGCTGTGACTCTGCACAGGAGGGATTTGGGCGCCGCCGTAGTGAGGCTGCACTGGGCAGTGCAGGCTGGTAGGAGAGCAGAGCCCCAGGATGTGGAGACAGAGGGTGGGGTGAGGAGGAGGACGGGCCTGGGGTGACGAGAAGTGGGGCACAGGCTGGCCCTGGAGACCCTCCGGCTGGAAACACCTGCCCTGGAAGCAGTTGCAGAGATGCAGACCTGGAACTGGGCAGCATTTCCTTTTTGGGGCAACAACAAAATAGTACCTGGCATATGTAAAACCCCTCCTTGCCAGGGGCTGCATTGCCGCACCCCCTCTCCCACCAGGCTGACCCCACAGCCGTAAGGCCCAGCAGCCACGTGAGGAAACGGTGGCCATAGCAACAGGAAAAGCGTGGGGAAAAGTTGCACAAGTGGGGATAGCAACGCCACCAGCATTCTTAGAGATACTGACTTTTTCTGCAGTTTTCATCCTTTCATTTCCTTTTATTAAACCTTAACTAGATTTGGGGGGGCAGGACCACAAGGGGCTGGTGTGTGCCCCAGCTGCGGCCCCGGCCCTGGTTTAGCTGGCACACAAGGCACCCTCTCAGCGTCACTGGTGACGAGGTAGCTTCCTGGGGGACTGTGAAGGGTCCTTGGAGCTGCTGGCCCTCCTCTTTCGGCCTCGCCGGGGCCCCCCATGGGAGCCATCACTGCCCTGGCTGTGCGTGGAGGGCCCTGGCACAGTCTCCTCTCGGTCCTCCTGGGCTGCTCCTTGCTCCCTGTGGATGGGAAGGCGGGGTGGTCTGGGGGCACGAGAACGCCCTGGGCCAGGGGCAGCCACAGGGCTGTCCTCCCATCCCCCAGCAGCATGGCCAGCGCCCAGGCCCATCAAACGTCGGGTTTTCCTGCTGCACCGGCGCACAATGGTGTCAATAAGCCGGTGGACGAAGCTTCTTGAGCACCTGCCCAGGGAGGCCCGCAGTAGCTGGATCAGAGCCTCTTCATCCAGGCCAAAGTATCGCAGGCTGGAGATGATGAGGTTCTGCGCTTCTGCTGCTTCCTGGGCATCCTCAAAGAGATGCTCCAGCTCCTGATGCAGCCACGGCAGCACTGGACCGAGGACAGCAGGGTAGACTCGAAAGAGGGATGCCCAGAAGTAGGCATGGAAGCCGCCCACTGGAGCCAAGGGCAGCGCTCTTGCAGCTGCTGGCCAGGCTGCTGCAGGGTGCTGGGGGCTGCGGGCAGTTGGGTGTCCAGGAGCTCCTCGCATCAGGTGGATGATGACTGATGGTGTCGCAGGCGGTAGGATAATATGCTCCTCAAAGTCATCATCCTCCCGCACCGAGTGCAAGATGGAGGTGATGTTCTTCTTGCAGAGGGGGCACTCGGCCTTGCTCTCAGCCCATCGCAGGATGCAGGTATAACAGAATTGGTGGAGGCATGGCATCACATAGCTGTCCTCCTCCCGGCTCTCCAGGCATATGGGACAGCAGTTCTCCAGCTCTGTGGCCATGCTCTCCGTATCCTGCGGTGGGCTGGGGGGAGCTGTGGAAGACAAGCCGCTCCCTGTCACTGCCACTGCAGCAGCGGATATCGTGCTAGAAAAAAGAGGCCACAACTGTTGGCTGGCCTGACGAGGGCTGGAAGAAATGCCCAGGTCCCTCAAGACAGAAACCCTCCTAGCTCCTCAGCATGAGGTTTCCCCACACAGCTCACTGCTGCTGCTTTCAATGTGCCTCCTGGGTGTCCCAGCTCCCTGAACCAGGCAGGGCCAGGCAAAATCCTCCAATGGCTCTGGGGTCAGGCACTGAGAGCTGCACTCAATCCCTCAGCACGACCGCAGCACCAACAACAGCCTCGCACGAAACTCCAGACCTCACCAACTCGCTCAGCTGCAGTGCAGGCACGAGCTCGCTGGCTGAGACTTGGCACCTGGATATAGGCAGTGAGGTACGCACAATCCACAGCCCAGTGACATCACAGTCCATCGCTTGGAGATGTTGTAATCCATCCCTCTGTGACATGGAAACACACCGCTTCGAAGTGTCACCGTCCATCATCTGGGCACATCACCATGGGCTGTCCTCACCTGCAGTGATCCCCCTGGCAGCGGTCTGGCCCCAGCACACGCGTCTGGGGTTACTGCAATGCCACTGCCCCTTCCATCCCCCCATTGCTTGTCTTGTGTTTCATGTCAGTGTCTTCGGCTGTGTCTTCCCAGGGCACCGTTGGGTCGCTCTGTCCAGGGCAGACGTCTCCAAGCACTTATGGCAAGAGGGTTCATTAGATAACACTTCGTGCCTTCCTGGGAGGTTGCAGGACAAAGTCCCACGGTCTCTCCCTACGCCCCAGCACTGCTGGCCAGCCCTCTAGGCCTCCCTGCTTCCGCCCATGGGAGATCAAAGGCAGCACTTGGCTTGCTTTTGGGGAATTTCTCCTACTTGTTGAGCCATCAGAGTGCCTCCAGCCCCAAGCTCTGGGTGTCCATTTGCTGAAGGTGGTTGCACCCCTCACCCCACCTGGAGACACCACAGGACACGGTCGCTTCTCCGCATGGGTGTTTTTGCTCAGTTCCTGCCACACCTTGGGCCAGGGTAGACATAGTGCTTGGGCCCCAGCTCAGAAGTGGGGCTGGATGGGGCCCAGCATCTGCAGGGTGTCTGCAGGGTGACGGCATGAACATTGATAATAATAATACTGATAGACCGTGGGCTGCCCGGTCCTCTGAGCTGGAGGACCACAACTGTGGCAACAGTGACTTTCCACTTGTGGACACTCAAATTGTAAGGGATCAGCTTTATCAATTGAAAGTTCATAAGTCCATGGAGTCGGATGGGATTCATGCCAGAGTACTGAAAGCTCTAGCGGTTGTTACAGCAGGACCCCTCTCAATCATCTGCCAAAGGTCTTGGGGAGTCTGGCGAGGTCGCTGCTGGCTGGAAGCTAGTCAATGGTATTCCAATTTACAAGAAGGGCATGAGGGAAGACCCAGGAAAAAACAGGTCTCTCAGTCTAACCTCAGTACCGGGGAAAATCACGGAGAAGATCATACTGGGTGCTGTTGAAAGGCATTTAAAGGACAATGCAATCATCAGGCACAGTCAATATGGGTTCACAAAGGGAAAGTCCTGTTTCACTCATTTTATATCCTTCTATGACAACGTCACCCACCTAGGGAATGAAGGTAAGGCAGTGGATGTAGTTTTTCTGGATTTTAGTAAGGCTTTTGATACTGTCCCTCACAGCATCCTTCTGGACGAGTTGTCCAGCTGTGAGATGAGCAGATACATGGTGTGCTGAGTGAAGAACTGGCTCAACGGCAGGGCTTAAAGGGCTGTGGTGAATGAGGCTACATCTGGCTGGTGACCTGTGGGATTCACAGGGAGTGTTGTGAGCGACCTTGAACAACATAGCCTTGAAGGAAATAGTCTGAGAAAGCAAGTAATGGAGCAAGCGCAGAAAGTGAGCTGAAGATAAAAATGTTTTGAAGCACAGCTGTGAGACCGAAACTAGAAGATGCGTGTCTTGATTAACAGCACCAATTAAAAGCTTAGCCGCGGCGCGTGGACAGCAGGGGTTAACCAATCCATGAACAAACTAGGGCACGTGGACAGCAGGGGTTAACCAATCCATGAACAAACTAGAGCGCATGGACAGCTAGTGAATCTATATAAGCACAAACTTGTGAACAATAAAGGTCTTTGGTTTTACTCGCGCCAGAGTCCGTGAATCAATCCCTACAGTGACCAGTCACCAATGGTGTTCCTCAGGGCTTAGTCCTAGGGCCAGTCCTGTTCAGTATTTTTATCAATGAGCTGGAGGCAGAAGTTCAATGCACCATTAGCAAGCGAGCTGATGATACTAAACTGGGAGGTGCTGCTGACTCTCTCGAGGGATAAGAGGCCTTGCAGAGGGATCTAGATAGACTGGAGCACTGGGCAATCAGTAGTGGGATGAAATCTAACAAGTCCAAATGCCAGACTCTGCACTTGGGACAGAGGAGCGCCAGACACAAGTAGAAATTGAGAGAGGAGTGGCAGGACAGTGTCATGGTTTAACCCCAGCTGGCAACTAAGCACCACACAGCCACCCGCTCACTCCCTCCGCAGTGCGATGGAGGAAAGAATCAGAAGAGAAAAAGTGAGAAAACTCATGAGTTGAGATAAAGACAGTTCAATAGGTAAAGCAAAAGCCACACACGCAAGCAAAGCAAAACAAGGAATTCATTCACTACTTCCCATCAGCAGGTAAGTGTTCAGCCATCTCCAGGAAAGCAAGGCTCCGTCACACATAAGTGTTACTTGGAAAGACAAACACCATCGCTCCAAACATCCTCCCTTTCCTTCTTCTTCCCCCAGTTTTATATGCTGAGCATTACAACATAGGGTATGGAATATCCCTTTGGTCAGCTGGGGTCAGCTGGCTTGGCTGTGTCCCCTGTCAACTTCTTCAACTCGCTGGTGGGGTGGTGCAGGAGGCAGAAAAGGCCTTGAGTCTGTGTAAGCA